GTTTCCCAATGCCATATAGAACCTCTATAGAAGGAATAAATAGGAGGAAGTAGGGGTAAATAGGACATTTTAAGGGCTTCATTTACAGGGTTTTTTCAATAAGAACTTATTTTGTTTTGTTTTCCCAATACCTCCTAAACTTTGCAAAAAACAAAACAGGTTCCCTCTTGCCCCTTCATCACCCACCCTGATTCTTTCCCAGATTAAAACAAGTCTTGAGTGAATCGAGAGTCTCAGTGACCAAAAAGGAGTATGAGAACCTGTGGTCTAGGAGTCTGTGGACATTAGAAATAAAAGTGATTCTGGAGGGGAAAACAACTCATGCTGAGGACTCAAAGACCATATTTTGGAGGTAACTTCAGTGTAGTTGTATTCTGGCCTCGAGGCCTGAGTTGCCATGAGTGTAGTAGGTGGAGGTCTGAGGAAACCATGCTTCACGAGCCAAGGAAAAATCTCCTCACTCCAAGGTGGAACTGCCACTTCAAAAAACACATTACTAATTTGAACCTAAATGCAACTCTAGATGCATCCTAAGTCAACTTGTGATTCAAAAGTGCGGGGTAAAAATTAAAAGTTTGCAGATTGTGCTAGCTGCAACATTTCTATTTTCTTCAACCTCAAAGCACTGAGGCTGGTAATCTTAAAAATATCCCTTCAATATCACAACAGCTGTGTGCACTCTGTGTACCAACAAGTGAACAGTAGAGATAAAACATTAACTGAGATGCTGGTAATCTTAGAATATCCTGAGTTGGAGGGGGCCCACAAGAATCATTGAGTCCAACCCCTGGCTCTGCACAGGACAGCCCCAGGAGTCACTCCATGTGCCTTGAGGGCATTGCCCAAACACTCCTTGAGGGCATTGCCCAAGCACTCCTTGAGGGCGTTGCCCAAACAATCCTGAACTCTCAGGATTGGTGCTTTGACCACTTCCCCAGGGAGGCTGTTCCAGTGCCCAAACACCCTCTGAGTGAAGAACCTTTTCCTGATATCCAACCTAAACCTGCCTGACTCAGCTTCAGGCCATGCCCCCAGGTCGTGCCATTGGTCACCAGAGAGGAGACATCAGCTCCTGCCACTGCACATCCCCTTTGGGTGAGGAAGCTGTACACTGCTATGTGGCCTCTCCTCAGCCTCCTCGTCTGTAGGCTGGGTAAATCAAGGTGAGAAGGCTGAAAATAATGCAAAGGATGTCTTGATTCAAGGCTCATTGCGTTACTCATTAGGAATCTTTCCACTGAGTTCAATGGAGTTTTGCTTGGAGTAAAAAGTTACTGCAACAGACACAGCAGCACAGCAGCTATTACTCACTCAAATTCCCAAAAGGAATTTTGCCTGCAAAAAGACCACAAGATTTGACCCCACTAATGACTTCCATGGTGTTTTCTGCACAATATAGATTACCAAAGTGGAGCCATGACTCAGAGGTTTTTCTGCTCCAACCTGCCCATCATCAGCTCTTCCCTGCAATTCTCAAAGCAATGAAGAAAGGCAGTGGCCATTCACAAGGTGTTTGCCCAAGAACAACAGCTCTCAGCCTGTTCTGTAAACCAGATTTTAGTCATCAGAAGGAAGAAAAGAAGGAATAAAAGTCCACCCAAGCAAGCAAAACAAAGCAAATGTAAAGCACAAGCACAAACACACAAACAAAACCCTTCAAGAGATTAAAATTTGCTCAAAGAGAATACAATTTAAGAAAAAAAAATTAATTGAGAAATTGATAGAACACTAATGTTACTTTAGCATCTTATGTGGTAGTTGGGGGGATGTGATCTTAGGGATTCTGTTCATCCTCCTCCTGACATTGAAATATAAGATAATTGATGTAAGAAGTCTCTAGACAAAATGTATATATTTCCTAGAGAATATGCAGACAGAGTGTCTCCATTTGTGTCCTTTACAGGATGCTCATTCTCTGGGCTGGCCCCAATCCTGCTTCATTTCACTCAATGCCCCTAAGACCTGTGAAACAACATCAGAAGGAAACTGCAAGAAGGTATTTCAAAAAGTTTTGAGGAAAAAAGACTTAGAGAGAGAAACTCAGGAGCCAGCTCCATCTAAAGCAAATGAAAAAAAAAAAAAAAAAACCACAATAATAGCTGACTGCAAAATTTCGTCTTGCAAATCCTCCTCTAATTTTTGCCATTGCTGAGGTCCTGGAATCAATATTTTAGTCTAACTGCAATCTGTTGATGAGTGAAAGGAGGGAAAGGTTGTAGCATTGCGAATTAAAAAATAATAATCTCTCAAGCTTAATATCAGCAAAGATGATTATTTCCTCTGATTTGTCAGGCTAATTGAAAATAGCTTTATAGTTCACAGATGATTAATTAGGAGCCAACAAGATCTCCATTTGCATCTTGGTAATTCTTCACTCTGTTTTATTTCGACATTTATTCTTTATGCTTAAAATATTCATTGAGAAAGCAGAAAGGTGATTAACATAAGATTTTAAATGTGTACCATTTGTTCTGATTTTTTTTTACACATTTTTGTCAACAGAGAAGAAAGGAGAGACTATACAACATTACAAAACGATTACTGCCTGTTCTGCTTCCATCTGCCAAGTCCTCCTTTATGGCAGATATACTTTAACCAGGTTCATTTTGAAACAGGGGAGAAAAAGCCCAAATGAAGGTCAACCTTCTGTCCCTCCTCCCCCATTCCCAAATCACCAACTATCTGACCTCTGTATAATCATTCTGAAAGTTTTGGACTGTTTTATTCCTTGCATGCAACACCCTCCCTCCTGTGAACCATCCTGCAGCAGATTAGACCATGCCACTGTTACCCCTCCCTCCAGACAAAGTGGGTTCAAACAGCTGTGACAGACATGATGATATTTTTCCATCCACCTGGCACTGAAAGGCAGGGGTGCACATATTTCTGGGTGAAATATTTCACTCAGCATTAAAAATATAAAAATAATTTGCAGGTCACGTCTGTTGAGGTTTTTTACATTTGGGGGTTGTATTTTTGTTTGGGATTTTTCAAGCATTTTCTCACAGCCTTGGTAACCTCTGTCTTATCACACTGCACTTAAATCTCCAGCAAATGGAGTGGTTTGATAAGAAGTTTAACCCTTTGTTTGGAAGGTGGATTCCCAACCCTTGTAATAGCATAAAGAAGCTGGATGAGTAAACTCTGAAAACTAAAAGAAGGATGGATTCCTAATATTAAATCACCAGAAATGAAAAAATAAGAGCCAAACTCTGCTTTATCAATAGTAATATTAATTAAAATTGCACTGTTTCAAAGAGAGTTCTTACAGGACCGGACTGGCTAATGAACTTTGAATTCTTGTGAATTTTCCTCTCTCATCAAATCCAGCTTTTCGTAATGGATTCTGCCCATTCCTCCAAGAGATGGGCAGATCTGATCCATCCTGATTTCACATCAAGATCTCAGCTGTCACTTGTTTGATCTATCACTGAGTACCCCACTGGACAGAGCAGAATGTCCTTTTCCAGCTCCTGTCCAAAACCTTTGCTTTTTTCAAAAGCAGCCTGGATCATAAGGACCCTGCTGAACCTTTGCACTTATCCCAGCCCCAAATTGTCCTCAACACCAGTTTGGTCATGGTTTCCCGAGACCCAAAGGGACCCATCCCACCTGGGAGCCCGAAACCACGCAGGGGCAGACGCTGGGCTGCGGTTCAAGGGACAGGGAGCACACACCGGACAGTGGGGTTACACTAACATGCAGTCCATTTATTTTTTGAGGGTTTTTTCTCTTTTGTTCTGTGATTTATCTTTTTTTTTATCAAGCCACTGCAAACATTGCTTTGGCTGTCAGCATGAGCGCAGAGACAGACATTCCCGTACCCGTGGTAACTATGTCATAAATACCATCCAAACAAATGTTAAGAAAAATTAATAAAGAAAAATATTCCTTTTCCCACCCCCAAGCACAAAACACTGTTAAGTCAACAGAATTTAATCTAGTTTATTCTCCAAAAAAAAAAAAAAAAAGGGGGGAAAAATATAAAAAAAAAAAAAAAAAAAAAAAGAGCAGGTCTTATCACTAGCAGTAAATAAATTTGTACAACCATTCAGTCTGTATAATAGGATGAAATAAATCTACATCTTTCTTATTTTGGTGCGTTGAATTATACATACAAACAACAATTACAGGAACTTGTTCACAATGCGTATAGACCTGGAGAATGGCTATCTGAAACCCCCTTGTTGGCAATGTCCGCATGTTAACACTGATTGCCTGACACCATTGGTACCTCCTATGCAAAGGGCCCGTGGCCCAAAATGAATGATCTCCCTACAGGTTTTATTTATTTAGTTATTTAGTTAGTTAGTTAGTTAATGCATCATCAAAACCGTTCTAGCCAGCCCCCTCCCCCTCCCCGGAAACGCAAAAAAAAAAAGAAACCAAAATGAAAACCAACCGAAAAAAAAATGAAATAAAAATAAAATAAAAGGAGAAGACATGACTGGCAGTTGGTCCATTTGTTCATAAGACCACGTTTCCTCTTGGTCTGCATTGTTTGTTTTTCTGGTTTTTAAATTGTCCTCCCATCTTCTTTTTTTTTTTTTCTTTTCCTTTAAAAAAAATCTCTCGGAGTCCTTCATGCCTTTTTCTTTACAGCTCCTCAGATGCAATAAAGTCTTCCTCAAATGTACAGTATTTCTTACAATATAAGTTATATGCAATGTTCAGCGTTTTTTATTTTATTTTATTTTATTTTTTCACAGCACTAGAGATCCTGTCCAATAGGGAATGCAAGTTCTGAATGGCTTATTCACAAATGGTATCCAGATTCAGTGGGTAAGAATACATAGACGCCATAGTGAGTTCCTTTAAAAAGTGGCAAACATCACTTTTTTAAAACTTTTTTTTTACTCTTTTTTCTCTTTTTTTCTTTTTTTCCTTTTTTGTGCTTTTTGTAGTTTTTTTCTGCATTTTTAATTTTTTTTCTCTCTCTTACGCCTTCAAATAACCTTTTTTTTTTTTTTTTAATTTTTTTTTAATTCTTTTTTTTTTCCCCCTCTCCCATTTGATTCAGGACGTCAGACCCATAACCACACGCCTGCAAAAATGCAAGTAGTATATAAAGTAAATCTCATTTTGAGACTGTAAGCATTCAGCAGGGGAGTCTCTTGCTAACCCATGGCAGTGACCATACTGGAGGGGTGGTGAGGTCCGAAGGAGAGGCTGGATGGAGGATGCATCGGTGTCGGTGTGGTCAGCATGTGGCTGGAGTGACTGAAGGGTGAAATGTGGCTGATGGAGGACATGTGTCTGGAGAGGGCGGCGGGGTTAAAGGAGCTGCTCTTGGGAAAGTCTTCGAGGTTGTCATGGACCTTTTTGCACTTTTTGGATTTGCTAGACATCTTTCGGTTTCTGGTCTGAATTCCTTCCTTCTTCATAGTCAGGGGTCTGTTAATCTAAACAAAAATCAATTATTTTTTTTTGTGCTTCCATCCCTTCTCCCCAGATCACCGTGGGATCCGTGTACCCCATGCCCCAGCCCAGTAGGACCAGCTGGTCACAGCCCCCCTCCTCCCCTGCACACACCATGTGCTACCCAGCCTCTCCACTTCCATCCCAAAATTCAGATCCCTCCAGGAAATCCCAAGCTCAGTTGAAATTTCTGAAGACAAGACGACAGAAAATTGCTGGCAGAGCCACACAGGAGCAAAACACACCCGAATAATTCACAGCAGCTGAAAAATTTCAACTATCTGCACATTAGGTAATTGCACTGTGTTTAGGTATGAAACCAATCATTACCTCCTGGAAATATTCCCCACAGACACTGTCTCACCCTGAGGCTTCCTGTCTGATCTAAAACCATTAGCAGCAAGAACTGCTGGGATTTCAGTGCTGTGAGGGGTCTCAGGCTTTCACAGCTCCATTAGGAAGCTGGGCAACTCTCCACAAAAGGAACAGGGTTTTTGTCTTATTTTTCTTCTTTCTAAAGATTTTGCTCTGATCATTCTTTCTGGTTTTCTTTAGCTAATCTGATTTTATTTCTAAAGGCTTCCAGGTTTTTTTAGGGAGGCTGAAACAGGTAACTCTGCTGACCAGCAAAGCATTTTCTACATGTATACGAATGTATCTGTAGGGAAAATAAACATTTAAATTCTCCTCCTGAAACTACACAGCAGAAATTATCATCCATGCATTCATCAGGATTAGGAAATGGTAGCAAAAGATCTGTTGTACACCCTGTAAAAAACTCTTATTATTCTTATTACTTGAGGCTGTCCTGTTCAGGGCCAGGGGTTGGACTTTGATGATTCTAGTGCGTCTCTTCCAACTCAGAGTATTCCATAATTTTGTCATTCTATACTGCACAGACAGCCAGCATCACAACATGTACTAGCACAGGTGACGTGAAACTCCCACAAACCACACTTGGGAAGGGATTTATGCCTCCAATGTCCCTAAACAACCTTAAAAATCCAGGCTTGATAACGTAAATGGGTCTTGCTCTGGCTCCTCTGCAGGATTTCACCTATAGCAGAAGGCAGGAAATCACCCTGAGGCTGAACCATTTTTCATAACAAATGTGAGCACATGATGGTGCTGATGGACATTCTGCAAAAGGGAGAAAAAATTGATTCACAGTCCACCAGAATCTGTGAAGGACAATGACAGGATGTCCCTGCAAAGATTCTGAGCAACTCTTTGTCTGTAAGACCTTAACTCAGCACAAGGAGCAAAGCATTCCCTTCTTCCAGATCACAGCAAAGTTTCACTTGTTGCTCCTCAGCCCTTTTCTGCTCCCTTTTCACAGCATGAGAATCATTCCTGGATTTTTCTCCCTATGGAGGCCAGGATAAAATAGCTCTCTGTTACATGCAAAGATGGAATTATGGGGAGAGGAAGGACCAGGCTCATCTCTTGTTTAGCATCCCAGAGTTTGTCATTCCAGTCTGAATTTGTGACTCCAGGCTCATTTTACCAGCAGTGACAAAAGCCTTCACCTCATCTAAAAATGGGTGAATAAAAGGTTGATTCCTCTGCCTCTGGATAAAGGGTGATGAAGAGAGCAGCCCTGCTTGCCAACAGCTAAAGGTAGGAAGGAAGAATCTGCCCATGATCAGCCCAACAACAGCCCTGCAGCAGCAGCAAGCAAAATTTAAAATGTCATGGGTTCCAAACACATCATAACCCACTTCCCTGGCTTTCTGTCCTCACTGAAGGAATGAGGATGCACACACAAGGATGGTCCTTTGCTCCAGACTGAGACTGGAAAGTTTTGCCTGGCCTGTTTTAAGTTTTTAACAGGGATGTGTCACCCAGGTTCAAAGCCAGGAAGAATTCCCAGGTGAGCCCCACCAGGCAGAAGCATCAGAGGAGGCCAGAAAGTGCCAATCCCTGACAAATCCAGCTCAGATTTGGGGAGGCACACACAGCCCTTGCCCCACCAGCTTTAAATGAGGATCTGTATCACAACACAAAGGCTCAGGGGCAGCCAGAACCAATTTCCAGTTGAAGCAGTAAAGCTGCAAGCTTGAGAGCTGGTTGTGGCAAAGTGACATCAGCCTGGTGGTGGGACTGGGGCTGTTCTGGGTCTTGGAAAAAGCATAGGCTCCTGACCCTTGCTTGGTTTCATGTCCCACAGGACACTGAACACTTCCCCAAAGTAACATCTCTCCTGCTTCATTCAATCTCTAAGAACAGGATGGCCCAGGCCATGATTTGACATGAAACTCGAGCATGGGAACACCAGCTCTGTGTCACCAGGATGGTGACAAAGCCATGGCCAGCCCACAGCTGGGGTCAGAGCTGCCATGCAAGCTGTGGGCTGGCCACATCATCCCAGAGTAAATGGCCTCACACTCGGAGCAGGTAACTAAGCAAAGAGCCAAACAGATAAAGACTCAGATAAATGTCAGGAACCAGTAGAATCAAAGCAGCAAGCTGGAAATTTTTTCCAGTGACTTCAAAGACCAGTCACAGCAGGGTAAAAGAGGTCCCCAAAACATCAAAGCCAAGGACCCATCTCTGTTTCTGGGTAGAGAAATGAAAAACCCGGAGGGAAGACCTTCTCCGTGAAAATTCATTCTGATAAAAATGACAAACACATGCTAAATTAAAATTAAACCAGCCCAACGCATGTATATGAAATTCATTAATTTCAGATGGAGCCAATTAATTATGGGCAGGAATTATGCTCTTTGTTTTATCATATGCAAAATACTGACTGCTCTGCTCTCGGGACACATAGGCCTGCTTTAAGGTATTGTGAAAGGGGCTTTTTCTGACTAATTTTACCAAAAGTAATGACAAATCACTCACTTCTACAGGCCCAGGCCAGCCTGCTGTACACCTCCAGAGAGCAAGGTACTCTTCCACCCATCCCTGAAGTGTGCAAAGGCTCATCCCACTTCTAAGGACTAAAATAACAAGGATGAGAACCCCATATTCAACAGATGAAATCCAGGGGAAAGCCTTAACCATTATAGGTCTGGTCTTGCTCTGACTGAAGACAATGGGATTTTGCCATTGACCTCAATAAGGTCCTGTCACTGAAGTGGATTTATCCTTCAGACATAGTCATTACAACGTTGGGTTAATCTTCCAGGCTGGCTGTATCTTAGAAAGCACTCTGGGATGCCACGGGATGAAAGGCACCGTATCAATGTGAAATATTAGTCATTGTTAATACTGGTGTTAATGGAGACGGCTCTTGTCGAAGTCAGTGGGAGGAATGCCAACAGCTTCACTAAATGCACCCCAAGACTATTATGGTTATTGCTTATATCCTACTGACAAATGGGTTTGCTTAAGCTGTGGGAATCAACAGTAAAACAAACTGATATAGCTCCATGAAAAAATTAACACCATGGAAAAAATTTTGCCGTTTCACTGCAGTCGTTCCCAGTGTGGACATAAAATCTGGGTAAGTTTCAACTGCAGATCAATCCATTAAAACAGCCTAATGATGTTAAGGTCCCAGAAAATTTTATTAAACCCAAAGAAAAGAAAAAATGGGGAGGGGAATGGATAAAACAGCAGACAGGAATTTGTTACAGCCTAGCCTGAAACAGGGTTAAGTCAACTTCCAAGTATCCAAAGACCTTCCACTGGCAATGGCACAACACCCATGCTGACAGCTGCTTGGGAAGGACATGCTACAATCAGCCTCTCTATTTCTGACCCCTCTCCTGATGGAAATCAGGAGATAATATACACACAGGGAGCAGGACCACACTTCTCACCACAGTCATAACTAAAGTAAATACTTTACTAAATAGTAAATACTAAGAATTTAAGAATTTTTTTAAAAAATTCATATCTGGATTTTCGTATCCTGTTTATTTTGCTGCACACAGGAGCTCAGTCCTCTGGGGGTTTCTTTTAAGCAGGATCTATTAATGGCGTTGCTCATAAGGCAAGATACTACTTGACTTTGGTAAGTAGCTGTGCTGAGCTTTTAAGCAGTTGTTGGAGTTTTTAATGAATATGAAAATGGTTCCAATATGCTCAAGGCCTGCCCCATGTCACAAATTTCACAGCTGGATCGGTGTTTCCCTAAATACTGGATCTAGAGGTCAATTCAGGCCAACTAGGTTTGCAGTGTTAGTGCAAAAAATAAAAGGATAAGCTCTTGCAGGCACATTTCTGGAGAACCTCAGCACTGAGACACCATTCTAAACACTCCAGGAGGAACTTTCTCCAATCAGATGTCTACAATGGAATCAGACACATCGTAACTCATCATCCTGCCATCTTTTGCAGGCATGGGGAGGACCTATTCAAGGGTAGAAGTCACCCCATTGAAACACAAGCATCCACCAGCACCAGCTGAGAAGAGCCTGTTTTCTTCAAAGGGCTTTGCTGGCTACAGGAGGAGCAGCTCCTTGCGATTTCCCAGGCTAAATTATTTAAGTCCTACCACTGGTGGCTATAAGGCCAAAATGGAAACAGAGCACCACCATATATCCCCTGCTCGGTGAAGCTGGCTGACCTTGATCCCTTCTTGCCAAGGAAATAGCAAACAGAATATTTTCTCATGATATTCTGAGAGTTTTCATGCTGCGTCCAACCCAGTGTGTTTGCAGTGATCACACTGAGAGTTTGATGACAAGCTTTACTTGCTACATGAGACTCAAAGCGTGCTGAGACACCTGCCCACTAAAAGGTAAACACAGTTTCCTTTTTTCCAAGAGAGATGCCTCCCATGAAACAGGTGAAAAATTAGCCTGATTGTTTGTTGGGGGGTTTTTTTCTACTTAATCCAAACTTGTTTACTCATCCTAAGAAACCAAACAGTTTGAAATAACAAATGGAAGGGACTGAGATACCACAAGGGTTGGATGCCCCATGAAACCCGATACGTCTTTGATGTGTTTCCATGGGTGGACATAAAGGCAAAACATAGCCCCAGATTTCCAAACCAAACACAGAGCAATCAACCACTAGTGGAAAAAAATATATATCAAAGCAGAGACATTGGAAGTCTTTTCCTTCTTTTGACATAATAATTATTCTAATGCCACAAGTGGAATGAGAGGAACAGGAGTAGCCTTAAGTCTCCTTTATTAGCAGTATTATTCAGTAGAAGACTTTTCAGGTCCCTTTAGCTCTTTGCCTGGGGCACATATCCCTGGTTCCTGAAAGCTGGCTTTGCATGGAGATATTAGATTAAATCTGCCAGCCATTTCATTTCATTTCATTTCATTTCATTTCTCCTTCTCTTCCATGACAGATGCTTTGAAATTCGCATCACAGGTTGAGCAGACTCTGCAACCCGCTAACTAAATCAAGTCCTTTTTTGGTTTGGGACTCATTTGCATCAACCAGCAAGAACACAGGGCCTAAATAAATCATCTCTGGGGACAGCACAAAGGCAGCCAAAAACCCAAGAATGATCTAAATAGTTTCTGGCACATATTTCTTTTTTTCCAGAGTTTGTATTTGCTGGAGGAACCAAGCTACGCATAGGAGGGGTATCGGCTTGCAGGACAGTGTGTTGTCTTTTCCAACTCTGTGAGCCCAATCAGCAGCAGATAATGTCTCTCTGTGTTGACCCACCCCTCCTTTCTTGGCTCACGCAAGGAAAAGCTCTAACATTACCCATGGACAGCCTTGTTTTATACCTCCCCAAGTTGGATAGGCTACGTTTGAAAGGCTGACGACTCATCGCTCCAAACCCCAAGGTCTCCAAAGGGATAACAGAAGTCTCGGCACCACCCGAGACTGGAAATCCTCAAGTTAAGGAAGCGTTTGGATCATTGAGCACCAAAGATGAGACCCCATTATTGAGTATTACAGTCACACTTACATTGTGCAGCTTGTAGTAGAGCCCACAGGCATTACAGACGGGATCGCCGTTGGCATTTCTCCTCCACAGGGTGGTAGTGGTGGTCTGACAGTTTGCACAGGACGTGCCCGCCCTCCTGGCTGCAGACTGTGGGAAGGAGGGAAAGAGAAGGAGAGGAAGAGAAAAACACCAGTGTCAAAAAAAAAAAAATGCAATCAGCAAAATTTCTGAGAAAGAAAACATCAACCCTGCAAGACTGACGCACATCAGCAGAGGCCTCCAGAAACTGACTTGTGAGAACAAATAATAATTGTGAAAAAAAATCCCCAAGGTACTTTAATCCCAAATTATATGTGAACTGAATCAGGTGCCAAAGGGCATCCTAAAAGTGAGTGCTAAACCTCTGATAGAACTCATCAAAATTAGCAGCGCTGACACAGCCCATTCCAGAGGGGAAAATGTTATTTAAATGCCAACATGTCTTTCCATCTTAATTCTCCCAGACCCCCCAGGGGTCTAATTCTGCAGTCAGGGCCTGAACTGACAATTGCTGGAGTCGAGGGCGTGAGTCACTCCAGCTCCAGCGAGCGGCGGGTGAGACCAGGGTGGGCAGCTGCTCGCCGGGCCCGACCGCAAGCGCAGCCCGGTCCCGTAAACTCAGCTCAGCTTCAAAGGAGACAGGCTCCAGATCGGAAATAACACTGTGGCAAAGAGCAAGAATCCCAACTTTTTAATTACACCTTTTTCTCAGCCCAAACCTTCATGTTTATTTAAGGATTGGTAACAAGCCTGAAAGAAGAATTTACCATTTCATAAAGGGGTAGGAACAAGAAAAAAAATCTACGTGGCAAAGTGTATACAGAAGCTTTTTTTGTTAGCTGTGATAATGACTTAGCAAAGTCAAATTTAGTAAAGTTGCTTTCTTTCACATGCATAAATTCGTACTTAGCATTTAAAAACTGTAACTCTATCAAACAAATTGTCCTTCTGCCTCTGAAGGAGGAACAGGAGCTTTCAGACTGCTGTGTGAGCGCGTATGCATGCTTGCGTGTGTGCAAATGCCTACAGCTCCTAAAAAAAAAGACCTTTAGATCCCCATCCTATCTATTCTTCATCAATATGACATGGTCCCAGAGCTCTGATTTCATCCCGATGCGTTGCTTTCAATGGAACTGCTCATGTGCTTAAAGTTAAAACATGTGCTTAAGCGATTTGCCAGATCATAGCAATGCTTGGCACCTTGCAGAACTGAGCCTTTAATGCTCTCTTTTGTGCTCTTACTGTTTCAAATTTACCCCTCACCCCACACAGCCGCACACTGTAGCACATCCAACATTGAAAAAAAAAAAAAGAAAGAAAATACCGCATCTTTGGATACCGTACAACAAACCCAAAATGCAAACATGGACACTGGCACAGCCTTAGCGTTAATACCAACTCTTGTTAGGTCATGTTGCAATTTTAATCATAATTGAATGCGGCGTAGGTGGAGAGAGGACGGGTTGGTTTTTCTTTAGATAGGGGAGGATTTTTTTTTCTTTTAATTAGACAAAAAGGACTGTCTAAAAAATAAATAAGACAATGCCCATGAGCACTAGGAAGCATCACAGAGCGGCTGATCTGACAGTGGCTCTCTCAGGCTGCCCGTAGGGACAGTTCCATTTTGTCTGACCATAAACCACTGTGAACCAAGCCAGTCCCAAGGAAGCTTTTAGCTAACTTCTCTGTGCTGGTGACCAGCAGGAGCTGGGGACTTTGCAAAATCCCAGGGCCAGCAGAGAAGACAAAACATCCCACCATGAAGAGCAGAGCCACAAACTGATGCACGCATACCTCCTGACCATGCCATGGACCCAAACTGGGCTCCCTTCAAAATCACCAGGATAATGAAATAATGAGTCTGTTCCAAAGGCAGCAAGGAGACAACAGCTTGCAAAGCCAAGTTCTCGCTAAAGAGCTGGAGAAGAGTCTGCAGATCTCTTCCCCCCAACTCCTGACACTCGGCGCCCATGGCTTGGAGGGGCACGAGGCTGGATTGAGTCTCTTGGTGGCAGCTTTGCTTTTATCAGACCCAAAAATCAAGCCTAAGGAAATTTCTAAAAACCAGTGATATTTGGCTCAGCCCACACAGGGGAAACATCCCCTTTGAAGATATTTGGGGTTTCTACACAGCGCTCGCCGTAATTTCTCTTACAGCAAGAGCGTTCAAAAGACACGCCTGGTCACCACCTCGCTGCCTTCAAACAAATTCTGACATTAAATAAGCAAATAAATCACAACGTCTACTGTCTTCTCTTAAACTATTTCCAACTACTGTGTTTCACTTGCAAAAATTCAGCATCATTAGCTGAGTATTTTAAGCTCTTTCGGTCCCAGGGTGCACCTTTTATGCTGTACCAACTTCTACCGGAGACAGAGGCAGCGGGCAGGAAACAATGAATAATAACGCTATTGTAAAGCTCCAGCAATGGCATCCACTGACGCTAATCAACGACTCGGGGCCTGGCCATGGCAGTAATGGGATGACTAATTAGCTGCCCCATATCATCTATAGGACCACAGCTGCCAGTGAGCAAAGACACAACTTCAGAAGCGCTAGCAGTGATGAAAAGGTGAAATTGAGGAGGTTGGAGGAACCAAGTACTAATAAAGATGCTTAATTAAGGGGCATTTTCAATGTCTGCATTTACCCACAAAGCTCCAAGCATCATTTTCCTAAAATAATATTGTATGTGCATGGGCCTGCTGAGAAATTGGCTATAATCCTTCCAAAACCAGCTTGGCTTGACTTGGAAACAGAGAGCTCTGCATCTGCATGGGCAGGGAATGGGAGAAAAAACTAAAGAAAGATTTTAATCTCAGCAGTGAAGGGGTTGCCACTGCCTGTGACAAGAACAGGAATGTCCTCCAGGAGGGCTGAAGATTTTTTAGGCAGCGATGGTGTGGTACCACCTGCCTGTTCTTGATTTCCCTGCCAACATCTCCAGGTCTTTCTCTCTCAAGATGAAGCAGAGCTGTCTGAGCCCTCTCGGCCAGCAAGACTTCATCCCTGTCACCTAAAGAACACCCTCACAAAGACACCCATTGAATTTAACAAGGCTTGGGCTGTGTTCTCAGCATCTAAGAATTTCTTTGCCTCCTCTCTCCCACCCATCAAATCCTATCATTAGTTTCAGCACAGCTGTGATCAGAGCCTATGAAACCAGCCCGAGGTCAGGCAGGAAACTTGTGGCAGAGGGAAGGAGCTGGATCCCCACCCAGAGCCTCCATCCCCAGCCTTGCCCAGCCCGCCTGCCTTTACAGCAGGAGAGATCCAGTCAAGCCACAGCTACATGCACGTCCACATCCAGGCACAGAAAATGCAAATGCAAGTCCAGCTCTGGTGCCTTCTGACTAAATTTTTTTCCAGAGGTCAGCAAGGGAAATAAATAGAGGTGCAAACAGCATTAGGGACGTTTGTCTTTTTTTTTCTTTTTCCCAGGCAGTCCTGGGGGGTGGAGGGTGGTGGGGTGAGGGAAGTAGAAAAATCAAATTTCACATTTAGCAAAGGCCACATTTAAAGAAGGGGAACTTTTTGTAACTTTAACTAAAATGCCCAAAGATTGGAGCGATAACGCAAGACAAGGTCTCTCTTTACTTCTTCTCTTTCTTCCTCTTTTTCTTTTCCCCCAAGAATGACCTTTTACTATGTATTTATTTATATAGTTCATTTTACATGTGCCGGGCTCAGGGTGACTCGGGACATTCTTTCGTGGTTCCATCAGACACTTTTTAAAAGCTCTCCCCCTCTTTCCAGCCGCTTTCCTATTCTGCCTCCCCCTCTGCTTGTTTGGATACGCTCAAGCTCCTGTGTGTTTGGACTGGGGAAACGGAGCTGTTGTTTAGGAGTTATCTCCAGGGCTCAGATATCCGGCAGCTTTTTCCTAGGAAGTTAACTTTACACATAGAGAGAGAACGAGGGGAAAAAAAAAAAAATAAAGAAAACGAGGGCTGTGTGTTTAAGACAGAAGGGCCAGGGGGGAGGAGGAGAAGAGAACAAGAGAGCTGCCCAAAAAAATCAAAATTCCAGCCTGTACTTCCCTCCCTAGAAAGCTTTTCCTCTTTTCTAACAAGGTTATGAAAGATGAGAAAGACAAACATTTTCCTATACGGGAAAAGCCCATATAGGAGGGCACGGAGAGGTTTCACACACAGGAAGTTTGGCAGGGTAGAGGAGCAAACCCACACCTTCCCCAAAACTCACACTGCCAGACAGAGCTATTGCTGGTGCCCCTCACAGCATAGCCCTTCCTGGGAATGTGCCCTGCAAATGCTTCCCAGAGCCAGAGGGGACAAAGCTGGTACAATTTTATGGGTGTCTCAGAGGTGAGGAAGCTGATCCCGACCTAAGAGCTGTGAGCACCTTCAAGAGGAACTCAAATGAACCAGCCCTGTCCTGCCTGCGGGCTCTGGCCATGCCAGGCACAAGCCTCACCAAACTGGCCAGATCCATCCATCAGCTCAGAAATTCCAGAGAGGAAAGGGCCAGTTTTCCTCCATATTTTGAGCAGCCCTCAGGAGCCTTTCCACATCTTTAATCCTGACAAAACCAAACGTGCCTCGATTCGAAACATTCAATAACTTCCCAAGCAGGGACCATAATTTTTTCCCCCACTTGATATATTTTTCCCCTTGTGGTCTGCCTGATTATTTGCCAAATACACTTTAACACATTTATTAGCCATGCCCACAGCTTCCAGACCTTTTTGTGGCTTCCAGGGAAATGCATGAATAGATCGCTGGGGATGCTGTAACGTATTGCCTGTGCTTAGAACAGTCACCATTCTTGTAACTATTATTTCAAACAGTTACCCACACATTTCATCTTCCTCCAGCTTCTGTAGCAAGGGCACACTCTTGGCTTTGCACGCTCACGATGCTCTCTGCCTTGTGGCCTTGTGACACCATTTGAGACCCAGATGGCACAGACATAAATGACCACACCAGGTACCAGTGGCACCAGGACCTGATGGTTCCAGCTCTTTGCAGGACCAGTGACACCCCAGTGACACCTGGGATCCATGACACCACCAGCCAAGGGGGATAGAGACACATTAAAGAGTGGAGGGCAGAAGTTTGGAGAGCACAGGAGAAATCCTGTATTCCTGATAATCTCTTTGGCCACTAGGAAATTATTGTCCTCCCCTTAGGCCCTGGAAAATGTCACTGTCCTCGGGTCACCATCCAGAAGCACAGTGTGGAGTTGAAAACTCCCTTCTGGTTTGCAAGAAGCCCTGGATCTTGACTTTTAAGCCTGTTTTGCAGTTTGCAAGAGGATCAGGCAATGGAGGCCCACAGCATCTGGGACCAACTCCCCAAGCATCCCTCCCTCCCAGCCCTCGGACACAGTGGGACCAGTGGGAGCTGGCTGAGGTTCCCTGTCCATCCAGAGCTGCAGATTGGAAGCAAAAGCTGCAGAAGAAGAAGAAAGAATAAAATAGAAGGAGACTCACCAGTCTTCTCTTGGGTTTGATCAGGGGCCGGTTCTGCCCGTTCATTTTGTGGTAGAGTCCACAGGCGTTACACAAATAGTGCCCAGTGCCGTCTCTTCTCCACAGAGGGGTTGAGGTAGCCCCACAATTTACACACTCCCTGCCTTCTGGAAACAAGAGAGCACACGGTTCACTTAGGGAAAGCAGAGACAAAAGGGGCTGGGGAAAGCCCCCCCTCACCAAAAAACCCCACAACCTCCCCAGAGACCCAGCCATGCCAGACCCTGCCAGTGCCCCCCAAGCTCAGGATTTCCAAAAAAGGGTCCAAAGCCACGAGTGAACGATGTCCCTGGCACAGTCTGGTGGGGTCTGATCCTGTTCCCCTCCCCAGCACTGCTCCACAGGCAGCATCAGGCCTGTGTCCCAGCAGCAAGGAAGAGGGATGGTGACAATGACAACCCTAATGCCATGGTGGCTCAAGAGACTCCCCAAAGAAGCTCTCACTCCTCCCACAGGTCTCTTTGGGGGAGTGGGGGGAGCTGACAATTTCCCCTGGCCTTTGGATTAAGGGCTCCTACAACTCTGGAGACCCCATGTTTCCATAGGCACCAGAAAAACCTTGGCAGGCTTCGCAAGAAGCTTCCAGCCCTCTACACCCAAAATGTTGGATACAGAATTTAAGTCCATGACCCCCTTTCTGATGTGTATGAGGACCCCAGTGTCACTCCTTGAGCATTCTTCCAGCTCCCAGGGGCATTCATGAGCCTGGAGGGCTCTTCCCCTGGCCTCAGGTCAAGCCACATCAAGGATCCCCAAAATAATCACAGACAATCCCCAAAACATCTCCCCAGCTCCAGCCAATACATAACAACTCCAACAATATCTGCTATTGATTAATTTGAAATTAAGCCTCCACCACCCAAAACTTTCAGAAACTCCTCTGGTTTCCCCACCACATCTGCAGCCTGATGGTCCATCCTGGCTATCTGGGATAGCACACAGCCCCAAGCCTGATTTGTAAGTTCTTTCACTCCTTCTTCTTTTTGGGCACCTCTTTATCCTCTCCTTAGCTACTGCAGCGGGAGCTCTCCCCCAGCCCACCAGTTCCCAGCTTGGAGGAGGGAGCTGGGAGGGTGCAGACCCTGCCTCTCAGCTACTTTCAGAGGGTTGAGTGTTTTTTTGTTGCCTCTTTGGTTTGGTGGGCAAAGTTTTTCGGTACCTAACATCAGCTGTGGCCCACCTGAAAGCAGAGCAGAGCAGAGCCAGCTCAGCACAGAGCCGGCTCCCCGCTGCCCCAGCCCGTGCTGCCTTCGAGCAAGAGGCATCCGTGCCCTAACCACAAACTGCAACCGTTTTTCCAGAGCCTTCGCACTGAACCCCTCTTCTCTCACACCTCCCCAGCAACTACAACAACAACAAAAAAATACATTTGCACCCGTTTCTCCCTCTTTTATCCTGCAGAATCACCCCCTTCCTCCTTTTTCTCCAGCTCTAACCCTCTTTGTCTGAGAGGTCCTAGCTTGCTAAGATCGACTTCTAAAGGTGAAAAAAAAAAAAAAAAAAAAAGGGAAAAAAAAAAAAAAAAAAAAAGGGAAAAAAAAAAAAAAAAAAAAAGAGAGAGAAAGAGAAAAAAAAATAGGTGTTGCTGCTGGGGTTGGTTTATCACGAACCGCAGATGTCTTTCTAGAAGGTAAAGTAACAGAAAGTGGCAAAAGGAAAACAAGAGGGGAGGGTGGAGGGGGGCCGAGACGGTTTGAAAATACCGCGCAGCCGGTGGGTGCCCCGGCGGGAGCTGCGGCTCGGCGGGCGCCGGGGCGGCCGGGGGATGCTCAGCACCGCCCGGGGCGACAATAAACCGGTCCCTACCCCGGACACAGCGCCCGGCCCGTACTGGGGCCAGGCGGGGAGCCGGTCCCGTTAATACCCAGGTCGTTTTGTTCCCCTCCGGTTAAACGGGGCAGCCGGTCCCGGGCTGTTTGAGTCTCTGTCCCTCTCTTTTGTTTCACCCCATCTCTCTCTCTCTCTCTCTCTCCTGCTTTTTAATACAAAACATACAGGTCTGGGTTTTTTTGTCACTCTAACCGCATCCGGACTCTATTAAAGTTCCTGGCGCTGGATAAACAATGCAACTGTCGCGTGCAGCAGTCTGAAAATAATTGGATTAGCTCAAACATATCAGCTAAATAGAGACAGTCCCTGCTCAGACAGACAGAGTAAATGTCACCCTGGAAAAACCCTGAAAACTGATCTCATTCATGCCAGGCAACCCCGCAGCAGCCTCCTCGGAAAAACAAAATAGAGAAGGAAAAAAAAAAAATTTAAAGGGGGAAAAAGAGTTTTGACTAATCGCCCTTTCCTCTGCACACAAACACACTCCCCTCGGCTCACTCCCAGCCCTCCGTGCACACAAACCCGGTCCAAGCCCGGCGTGTTCAGCCGTCGGGAGCCGGAGCCGCGCAGCCCCTCGCACCCCATTCCGCGGGTGCGCACAGAGCTGGGGCCCTCCGCTTCCCCCGGGAAAGGCGGCCGGGGGGACACTTTTGGGGACTCTCCTTGTGGGTGATCCAAACCCCCTGGCACGGAGCTGGCTGGGGCTGGGGGCTGCGTGGGCGAACTCTCCGCAGCGCCCCGGGGAAAACCCTCCCCGCATCCCCGGGCGCCGCTTGGGAAGAGGCCCTGGGAAGAGCGAGGCGGAGGGCGGGCGGGGGAAGTTGGCCGGGATTTAGCACCATTATTAAAATACAGAGAGATCACCAATGCTGCGGTTCCCTCGGTTTCGCTTCCTCCCCGGGCGCCGCAGCTGAGCGCACCGTGGGCGCTGGAGGGGCCGGGTCGCCCCCGGGACTGGAGCCCCGCGGCACCGGGTGGGTGCTTTGGGTTCCTGGGCCTGGTTCTATCCCCAGCCAGGGCTGGACAAGGGGGAATTTGGTTATAAACCTAGCAGAGCAACCTGTGAGGAAGGTGAAGTGTCGTGTGCGTCCCCCACGAGGGCTTCAGCCCCTGCTGCTCGTCACACGGATGCTGCAGCACATGTCCCTGCGTGCGGGGGTCAGCCCCATCCCTTTGCCCCCCACTTTTCCGCCCCTCAGCTTCCTCTCCCGAGCAACGGGGATGAAGAAGCCAAAAGCCCTACCTGTGCTTGACCGTGCTTTTGGTCGCGATTTACACCCAAAGCCGGTTGGCGATCCTCCTAAGAGGCTACTGGGGGGAAAAAGTCCAGAGCCATATTCTGGGACATACGGTGGGTAGGTAGTGATGGGGTGATGAGCGGAGGAGGCGGCTCCTCCTAAAGAGGCCATGCTGCTCCGAGAGTGAGAGGACTCCAGCTTCATGGTATCGGCCAGGGACACCTGGTATTTGATGCATTCCTTCTCGTCCTGCCGGGTGGAGCCGGTGGAGCCGGGGGTGGAGATGGACGGATCCGGGGACACATCTTTAGGAGGGGTCGGCGGGAAGGTGAAAAGGTGCGGGCTGGAGTGGCCGGCGGATAAAGTGGAAGAGGAGGCGGGTGGGTAGACGGAAAGGGGTCCCGGTGAGCTGTGATGGATGGAGGTCTTGGAGAAGGGGCTGAGGTTCCAGGGGGAAGCGCTGTGGTGGCTGCTCAGCGCCTTGCTCCCGTCCAGCCAGGGCAGCGAGCCGTGCAGCAGCGGGGGACGGCACACCTGGCTCCCTGCTCGGAGAAAACACGGAGACACGTCGGTCACATCCCTCTGCCACCCTGGCAAAGCCCCCCGTGGGGGTCCCGGGACGTGCTTCCCCCACCACCATCCCTCGTCCTTCCCAAACAGATCAGCATTGGGGGGAACAAGGAAAATTACGTCTGATGAGAAACCCCGTTCATTAAAAATTAAATTTTAAAAGCTACAAGAGCAAGGGGTGGCAGCTCTGGTCCTGTTGAGGAATGAGTTTTGGGGTCGGGACCCTTCAAGCAGGGTGCCAGCCCTGTGGCACGGGATTTGGTGAGCTCTGCTTCACTCTCTCCGTTTTCCAGGCAATCCCACGAAGACTTTGAAGCAAAGATCCTGCGTGAAATTGCCAAGTCCCGACTGCAGAAATTTTTTTTTTTGTTTTTCCTTAGCTGGAAAATGATTTCCTGAACAGAGCCATGAGCTATAAACCCTGGGAATTCTCTGGTCAAACGAAGAAGACCAGAAAATGCCCACAGACATGACAATAACCTTTGGAACAGGATTGATAAACTTTGCAAAACACTCAGTTTGTCTTTTCTTCTTCCATGAGACTGCACAGAAATGTTAGCTGGCTTTTTTTGCGATGATATGGCACACGCAGAGGGTACCAACTGCCTCAAAAGAAACGCTCCATACCCTTTTTGTGACAAGAGACACTTCACGTGTCTTTTAAAAGACAGACCGGGACTTTGTGGGGGGAAAAAAATCCACTAGATTTCTGCAGTCAAATCTTTTTCCCTTTAGTTATAAATATTCCTAAGGGCTTGTACCTGATATTTTAAATCATTTTCGGCCCTTCCTAAACAAATAGAAGAATACATCCTAAGAATTAAATCTATCCAAATCACAGCAACTTGGGTGAATGGCTGTAAGACGGAAAACACAGTTATTCAATTGGAAGGGAGCAAGTTTGTGTCTGATGATAAAGCCCTGGAAAGTCTCTGACACCTAGAGATCTTTAACCTCTGTAGGCATTGTGATATGTGTATAGAGATTGCTAAACATACAGAAGGAGAGATGCAAACACCGATGTATAGAGCCACAGACAGTTACAGGGTGGACACATTTGTTTGCATGGGGAGCTCCTGTGTGTCTAGAAAAGCTCCAGACTGGTTTTCACCATACCAGGCACTCATGAACAATACTGAAAGTCGCTGCTCAAAAGGAAGGGAAGGTGGGTTATACGAATAGAAAGGGTCAAGATTCATTATCTTCTCCAGGAAGTAGCATAGTAAATAATATTCAGGCTAGATCAGAGAGACCGCATTTCCACTTTCTGCTGATATATTGGGAAAAAAAATGAAAAGGGAAGAAAAGAAAGAAAGGACAAAGGCTGCTGATCCTTAAAAATAATTGTTTTAAAGGGACTAATAGCAGAACAATGCAGCTACTGAGCGGAGGCTAATGCAGGCTCGCACTCAACAAGTTGCTGAGGGCTGGGAGCAGCCTCCTGAACCCGCTCGGCTCCATCTCCACTCCACTCATCCCATTTTCTCCATGATTTTGGGGTTATTTCCACTGTAAACCTCGGGGATTTAGATTTTGCCACTACAGAGATCACTGTCCGTCTTCACAAACCACGCTCTGTTCTTTTCCCTCCTTTTTTTTTTTCTTTTTTGTATTTCTTTCCTTATTTTTTGAACCATCCAGGTAAACTCCAGCTATAAATACTGAACCTCTCCACTTCTTCATAAAAGATGGCACCAAAGTGCTCATCCCTCCGTGGAGCTGGGCCCCATCGGCCCCAGGTATTTCACCTCCTTTCTGAGAGCTGTGACCCAGGAACAAGATTCACATTGTGGATTCACCTTCCTGCGGGACCCTCAGGACAACTCACCAGGTCTGCTACCTAAATACACCACGGGCTGTATTTTTTTTTTAGTTTCTTTCTTATTTTAAACCCATGCCATGGTGCTGCCCTGGGTATGTGTGCAAAACTTTCGTCCCAAGCCTAACAAGCTCACCAAGTGCGAATTAAATAGCCCAAGCGTGAGGACAACGGGGTCACTTTCACACCCCTGCTCTCCAGCTTGCTTTGCTTCCCCAGAGCAGCTTAATCGTGCAAAAACCAAACACAGTGTGAAAACACTAACTGTTAGCCTAATTAAAGAGAGGGGGAGAAACCAAAGCGAAAGAGAAGGGAGCAAGAGGAGGAAGTCAAGAGGAAGATGAAAAAGAAAGAAATAGAAGGAAGGAGAGCAAGAGGGAAAGGAGAGAGGGAAGAGGGATGTGATATAAAAAGAGAGGATGAAAGAAAGTGAGAAAGAGAGGAAGAAAAAGAGAAAGAGAAGAAAGAAAGAAGAAAGAAAAAAAAAAAAAAAAAAGAAAGGGAAAGGAAGGAAGCCTAAATTTTTATTTATTTCCAATAAGCCAACCCCAAAATCCACCCGTGACGTAGATTCCCCGCCGCCAGGAGAGGGTCTGCCGGGCAGCAGCGGGGGGCTCGGGGCTCGGCGGGGACACTCACCGTGGTGCGCCGTGGGGTACCGCTGCACCGTGGCTCTCACGGAGTTGCCGTAGTACGGCGGGACGGGGTTGCCTTGTCCGTCGATATTAAAAAGTACATCCACTTCCTCGGCGAGAGGATACTGCGTGGGGTCCATGTAGGTATGGCCAAGCGAGGGGTGATGCGAGTCCGGGTGCTGCCCATTGAGCACGGCCGGGTGGTGGTGGCTCACCCACCGCGGCTGGTCCGTGGAGACCTCCATCTTCCGCGCTCGCTGCTGCTCTTCCTCCTCCTCCTCCTCCTCAGCAAGGCGCGGAGGGCTTGAGATGGGAGCGGGAGAGGCTGCCGGAGTTATGCAGCGCAGGGCGGGGAAAAGTGCTCGGCGAGTTTTCTGGTTAGGTTTGGTTTGAAGTGGAGGGAGTAGGGGGGTATGGTGATAAACGATCGATTCCAAAAAAAAAAAAAAAAAAAAAAAAAAAAAAAAAAAAAAAGGGGGAAATAATAAAATAAAATTAAAAGGGAGGAAAAAAGGGAAAACAAACAAAAAAAAACCTCGGGGGAAAAATTTCTCTACGAAGCGAGATCCCCTCGTTTCTTCCGCTCTGTTGCAGATGTTTCTCTTCTTTGATCACCTGTAACGAGAAAGAGGAAAGGGAAGGAGCAGAGAGGAGAGAGAGAGAGAGAGGCAGGGAGAGAAACACGTACTTGAGAAGTTCTGAACTTTAGCACCTGACTTTTTAGGCAGGAGCAAACCCATCCCATCCCTCGGCAGCCATCCCTGGGAAGCGCCTGCTCTGCCCTGGACCCACCTCTCCCAGCGCCTCTTTCTCTTTCGCTCTCTCCCGGCTCGGAGCGCAGCCCAGCAACTCCTGCCGCCCAGCTCTTACTTTTCCTTGGGTTGTTTTGTTTTTGTTTTTGTTTTTTTTTTTGGCTTTTCTCTTTTTTTTTTTTTTTTTTTTTTTTCGCGGTTGTTTGCTTATTTTTTTATTTGTTCCATTTGCACCTGAGAAGCTCCAGTGGCTTAAGCCGGTGAGAACTTGTGCCATTCGCTGCCGCGCAGCCCAGAGTCACTTTGATTGCTCATTAATTATTATGCAACCGAGAAAGGGGGGAACAGGGGGAAAAGAGAAGGGAGGGAAGGGGTAAAGCGATGGGGGGGTGAAAGGAAAGGAGCGAGGAAAAAAGGAGGGTGGGGAGAGGGAGGAAAAAGAAAAATTTTAAAAGCGACAAGTTGCTCAAGAAATTCCGCACAAACCTTGGTGGAGAAGCAGAATGTGACCCAGGAGGGATGAAGCTGAAAGTGCTTGATCAGATCAGAGTGTGCTCGCTCGCACTATTTTGTTTTCCCTACTTTTTTTCCTCCTCTCTCTCTCTCTCTTCCCCCCGCCCCTTATTTTTTTTCCTTTTTTTTCTTTTTTTTTCTTTTTCTTTTTTTTTTTGTTTTTTTTACAGGGAAGGCATTCTTTCTGAAAGGAGCAGGATGGCGCCAGCCGGCTCAGTGCTTACAGACAGCTGTGGCGAGACGCAACTTAAGGAGGTTCCAGTGTCATAAGCCCGGCGGAGGCGGAGCCTGAGCCGGGACCGGCCGGGCGCTCCGGCCGCCCCCGCGCTGCCCCCGCGGGAACCCCCGGCCACAAACTTCTCTTCACGTCCCTTCCACACTCCCTTTTTTTAAATTTATTTTTTACATTTTTCTCTTTTTTTTTTTTTTTTTTTTTTTTTAAGGGGGAAATTAAGTTTTCCCGCTGTCCCAGAAACTCAAGAGAGTGGCCAGCCCGGAGAGATGGTGATTGGAGGGGATGGGTTGGCTTCTCGGGGGGACACCCGGGGGATGCCAGCGGGCTGGGGACCCCCGGGAGCAAGGATGTGCGGGCAGGTGCAGGACCGGGGGGCTCCCCGCTGGAATAAAGCTGCAGCGGCGCGGCTCAGAAGGGATTAGTTATTGTTATATTTAAGGATACAAGCGCACAGCACGGCCACGTTTGTACACTCCATCTGGGGAGGTTTTGGGGGGTGTTTTTTCACCCTTCTTGCCCCGCTGGGGACGCGGGTGGGCGGGAGGGGCCGGCACCGACGGGACCCCCGGGCCGCGCCCGGCCCCGCCCCCCCGGCGGCTGGGCCAATGGGCGACCAGCAGGAACTGGGGCGCCGGCCTCGGGCCGCGCTGATTGGTTGCGAACCCGCGCCCCGCCGGCCCCCGGCGGCGCTGATTGGCTGCGGGCCCGCGGGTCGGCGGCCGCGGCGGGCGCTGCGTTGAGCCAGGGCATCCCCTAGCGGCACCCCGGGGTCATCCCGGCGGGAACGGGACCGGGACAGACAGAGGGGACAGCGGGGACAGGGGGACAGGGACAGCGCAGGGGGAAAGGGAGAACCGGGGACAGAGGGTGGGGAGAGAGAGAGAGAAAAAGCGTGGAGAGGAAGGAAAGACGGGGGGGAAAGGAAGAAGAGAAAAGAAAGAGAGAAAGAGAAATACAGAGAGAGAAGAGAAAGAAAGGGAGAGAGAAGAGAAAGAGAGAGAGAAATACAGAAAGAGAGAGAAGAAGAAAGAAAGAAAGAAAGAAAGAAAGAAAGAAAGAAAGAAAGAAAGAAAGAAAGAAAGAAAGAAAGAAAGAAAGAAAGAAAGAAAGAAAGAAATTTTTTTTTAAAAAGTAAGTGAAAGAAATAAAAGGATAGATAGAATGATGGGGGAGGGGGGGAAAGGATAATATTAAATTGTTTTAAAAGCACTAGAACGAGTCACTCACTGCGTGCCCCGCACGCCGGCCGGAGCGCGCCAGCCGCGGTGCGGGAGGAAGCGGCTCTCGGGGGTTTTACACCGGGGGTCTCGCTAAAACCCGAGGTTCCGCAGCTCCGGAGCCGGGCTGGGCTCCACCTGCGGCCGGGAGCCGGGTCTGCTCCTCCACGGCCAGAGGAACCGAGCCCCGGTCGGAGGGATGGATGGATGGATGGATGGATGGATGGATGGATGGATGGATGGATGGGATCCTCTAGGACGCCCGTTTTAAGCCCGAGTCTCAGCCCCCGGTGCAGCCCATCGCCGTTGGGCGTGAGTACAGAGGTTTCACACGCGAAAGATGCGCCATACACACTTATATATTTTTTTAAAAGAAACAACCCGACCAGGGCTGGTATAAGAGCCCTGAACCATCCACACGGCAGGGTCGCTGCTGCCCAACCAGCGGCGAGGAGCGTGGACGAGCCGGGAAGGGTGGCAGGTCGCCCCCACCCAGAAGTGCCCGGGGAACAGGGCTGGGGTCTCCCCGGGCTGTCCAGCCCAGCCGAGGCCGCCCGGAGCCCGGGGCAGTGGGAAGCGCTCCCTGCAGCCCACCAGGGGAAGGGGGACAGCGGGGGATGCTCATGGCCCTCCCCGAGCCGGGGGCTTTAACCCGCTGCGGGAAAACTCGTGTTTCCTCTCTCCCCAAAGAGGAGTCCCTTTGCCTGCCGGGGTTTTGTTTCCCCTCCTTTCCGTACTCCAGGAGTTGGGGCGCACTTGAAGGAGGAAACCGAGGGGAGAGCGGCGCGGTCTGTCTGTCTGCCTGTCTGTCTGTCCTGACGCACTTTCCAGGATTCCGGAGTGTAGGGGCCGGGGCGCCCCAGCACCAGGGTGGTCTCCTGCCCACCCCTCCTCCCCCGGGAGTGGGGGATTCCTTGGAGAGGAGGGGGACAGCGAAGAGGGGAGCAGCGTTCAGGAGAACAAACTTTCCTCCTCCCGCCATCCCTCTCCCCAGCTTTTAGCAATTTATGGACCTGAGCGGGAAATTTCTTCAACCCCGCTCCCTAAATTTCCTCACACCCCAAGCACATCCTGCCAGAGAGGGGTTTCCACGCTTTGGAAAAGTCACTTTGTGTCTTTTAGCTTTGAGGGGCGGTTTAATGCGAGCTGAGATCTTTGGGCAGGTGAGCTGAGATTCCCACCCCCGCTCCCTGCGGCACTTACAGCCCTGAGACCTACAGCCGGGGGATCACAGGAGGGGAATTTCCATCCAAAGGTCACAAAATTGCTAAACCACTTTAAAACGTGCCTTTAGCCCTGTCCGGAGGTAGTGAAGAAACAGGTTTCCTTCAGCTGTTTGAAGGGCAGGGAATTATTAATGCAAAATGAAATGAATAAAATAGAAATAAGTAAAATAAAATTAAATAAAACAATAAACCAACAGCTACACCAAGTCACAACAGTGGCAGGAGGGAAAAGAAATGGGAACAGCTCTGAGAGCTCCGTCCTGCCCCTACAGGGGTGGCACGGCGGGACCCTGCCCCTCGCCTGTCCCTCGCAGCCACAGCCCCGGCAGCGGGAGGAGGACACCCGCTCTCAAATCTAGTTTGCTTAGGCTGTCCCTTTATTTTCAACCCGTCCTCGATAGACTCGATCTTCCTATCCCCCTCCCAGCCGGGAGGAAGTGGTGGTGGGGAGTGCAAAAACACCCCCTACCAAAAAAAAAAAAAAAAAAAAAAAAAAAAAAAAATCTCAAAAAGAAAAAGAGCAAATCAGAAAACCCATCATTTTTTCCCCGTCTCCTCGGATTATCCTGTGATCCCAGGGGGTTTGAGAGGAGAGAGGAGCGCTGGCCTTGACCGTCCTTTTCCCAGGCTGTGGCTGCAGATCCATCACCTCGCCCCCCCGGCAGCCCCCAGCAGGGTTTCCAGTGACAGCTCGGCGTTAATAGGAGCCCATTGTTGGAGCAATTAGCCCCAAGCTCGCCACCAGCCGCCAGATAAGGGTCGGGGGCTCGGGGGTTAATTCTGCCGGGAGGAGGGGGCTGCGGGGAGCGGGGCTCCAGCATCCCCCCGTGCTAGGGGAGGGATGGGAGGAATGGGGATAACTCTGCCTCTAAAAGGGCACGAGGAAACGCTTTAGGCACTTTATTTGTCACCTAGAGACCCAAAATAGGGAAATTGAAGGGAAAAAACCATATAGAATCAACAACAACAAAACCCCAAACTTGGTGGGATGGGGTGGGATGACCGGTGAAAGGGCACTAAAGCTGTCACCCCTCTTTTGTTTTTTGGGTTTTTTTAAATCTCCCTCGGGTCTTCCTGATAAAGCAGGCTCAGGCAAGGCTGCTCTGGAGCCGGGGCCAGCCGCTCCTTGGTGCCCACGGCCGGCACTGGCACCTCGGGGCGGGGACAGGAGCCTCCCCCTGCTCCCCCTCTCCTTTAGCCCCCTTTAAACCACAATTGACTGAAAGGGGATTAAGTTACGTTTGTCGGGCTGGGCTTTTTTTTTTTTTTTTTTTTTTCTTTCCAGTGTACCAGAATAGTACAGGTAAAGCTGTACAAACAGCCGGGAGCGAGGAATCGGGGGGTTATGGAGAGGACACGGCCCAGGGCAGAGCTCCGAAGATTATTATTAATTTTTTTTTTTTTTTTTCCTGTGTACAGCAGCTTGCTCTCTTGCCGAGGGAAAGAAACCCGGGATTGTGAGCCCGCTGCCACCTCCCCGGCTGGGGCAGCCCCTCCCGGGACACGGAGCCTGCCAGTGCCCGGGACGGCCCCGCCGGGAGGGTACGGGACCCTGCTCAGGCTGCTGAGATAATCTCGGGTTAAACAAAGGAGCAGAGAAGAGGGAATATTTTGTTTTCCTCTTTTCTTTTTTTTTTCCCCTCCTTTCGTGAATTAGGCAGGAATTACGATCCACTTCCCCAAGGCCATCCCTTCTTTATCGTTTAAATGGTAAGCAGCGTCCGTCAGCTAGGAGCAGCAAATTGTTATTAATAATGATAATAAAAATAATAATAATAGTCAGAGAGAAAGAGAGACTGGCATGTCTGCCTCTCCCCTTTCCCATCCCACATGAGTCTTCCCTTCCGCTTCGAAACCGGCCACATGGGTGGTTGTTTTTTTGTTTTGTGGTTGTTGTTTTTTTGGGGTTTTTTTTATCTCTCTCGCTCTTTCTATTTTTTAAAAAAATATGCATACGTATTTCCGTTCTTTTCTAATAATTCAGTTATCTCCCCTTCGTGAAGATCGGGAGGAAACATAAACACGCACACAAAGAAGTGCCGAGCCATGCAGATTCAGAGAGAGAACAAATCATCGGCTGATTACACCGGGTCCAATTTTTTCTCCCTTCGTGCACCACCACCCACCACAGACACACACACTTTTTTTTTTTTTTTTTTTTTTTTTTTTTTTTTTCCGGCGCAAATGATGCTATTTGATGGAGGGGTGGGAAGAGATGGGGGAAAACCCTGCTCTGCCGTAGAAAAGAAATTCGAAGAATTAAAATTGGGAGGAGAGAAACTGGCCCTTTTCTTTTCCCTCCCCCCCCCCCCCCTTCTTTGAAGCTGAGAGAAGGGCGACTGCCCCGGGACACTGCAGGAGTAAAAAAAAAAAAAAAAAAAAAAAGGGTCTGAGAAAGATCAAAAACCGGCTCCGCAAGTCCCAGGGGCGACCTCTCCCCCCGACACATTCCCCAAAGTGCGCGGAGAGGAGCCGGGCAG